GTCCCCGACACCAACTGTAGCTGCTCCCTCCGCTAAAATTTGCCCTTTTTATTGGATTTAGCCTGCGGAACCCGAGGTTTTTGGTGCATATAAGTATTTTTGTTAGAGCGTCGATGGGCAAATAAAGGAATACTTATGGTCTTTCCACTACTTGATAAAAGGATCTTGTGACTATCACTAGAAATGATATTTCCCTCGCGTTCGGCTATAATGGAAACCCTCAAATCTAGAGTTGTTTGTCGTTCCAATCCAGTTCCAACAATGCACTTCTCGGACCAAGAAAGTGGAACTGCTTGGCGCTGCATATTAGAACTCATTAAAGCCCGATTTGCATCATTATGCTCAATAAAAGGAATGAGAGAACCTCCAATAGAAAAATATTGGAAAGGAAAAATACTTCTAACATCAATATGTTCCCATGCAATAGTCAGGAATTCTTGACGGTATCTAGCAGGAACAACCTGTTCTTCCTGAATACCCTGATTCAAGGACAAAGAATTTCCTGCTGCTATCATATAATATTCATCTCTATTTGGTGAAAATGAACTACCTGTCTCTCTCTTTTTTCTTTTGCTTTCTCAGATATTTCATAAAATGGACTCTCTATAGATCCCCACCAGTGATCAATTCTCGCATGAATAGCTAACGATCTGGTAAGTCCAACATTGATTCCTTCGGACGTGTCAATTGGACAAATACGCCCATAGTGACTCGGATGAATATCTCGGCTACGAAAACTTACAGTTCTCCCCATCAATCCTCCAAGACCCAAACAACTCGCTTTTTGCCCATGAACCGTTTGTGTCAATGGATTGGTTTGATCAAAAACTTGAGCTAAGGGGTATGTGCCAAAAATGGTCTCATAAGTAGTGCTTAATAAAATCAAAGTTGAAGTTGGAGTTACCAATACTCATTTTTGATAGATGTATTTATCCACATAGTGACTGTTTCTTAGTTAGGATCTCGACAATACGAAGCAATAGGTTGGTTATTAGTTAATTTTCTATCATTACTAAGTTTTTTTCTATTTTTAGTAGGGTTCAGACAATTTTTATTTTATTTTTGACCCTAAAGAAAAAACTAACGAGTCACACACTAAGCATAGCAATTATATTAAAAGATTTATTGATTTTTATTAAATCTTATAGAAAGAGGGATATTAAAAGGTTCTTGTCTTTTTTATTCTATCATTGGGCGGAATGGGAAGACATGGTTAGTTATTCTTCTTCTACGAATATCCAAATTTTGACACCTAATACTCCATAGATAGTTCGAATTGGATAGCAGCAATAATCAATTTTAGCGTGAATTGTTTGGAGGGGTAGTCTACCCTTTTTTATGCATTCGGCACGTGCAATTTCTTTTCCTGCTAAACGACCCGCAATTTGGATTTTTATTCCCTTTATATCCGCTTTTTTAGTTAATTCAATAGCTTTTTTCATTGCTTTTCGGAATGAAACTCTATTTTTTAATTGGAAAGCTATATATTCCGCAAGAATATTAGGTTGTCTATAAGGTTCTTTAACCTTTTCGATAGAAATATTAAGTCTCTGGTTTACAGAATTAACTTCCTTTTGGAGATCTTTCTCTAATTCTTCGATTGCTCCCTTTTTCTTTAATAAATTGGGGAATCCAATATGGATTATGACGTGGATTGTATCGATTTCTTTTTGAATTTCTATATGTGTAATTACTTCAGAACTTGAGTCTGATTCCATTTTTCTATTCGAGCCTTTTTTCCTATTCTTTTGTATATAGTTCTTGATACAATTCCGTATTTTTTTATCTTCCTGTAGACCTTCAGAATAATTTTTTGGTTGTGCGAACCAAAAGGAATGGTGATTTTGGGTTGTACCAAGTCTGAAACCGAGTGGATTTATTTTTTGTCCCATATTTTTCTATTATATTTCTTTTTTTTTACTGGGAATCGAAATTTTAGATTGATCTAAAGATTATTTAGATTTCTTTACTATATTTAGTACAATTGTTATATTACACATCGTTTTTTTTATAGAATAACTACGTCCTCGAGCTCGAGGTCTGAATTTTTTCATAATAGTACTCCTACTGACTTCGGCTTTAGTGATGAATAAATTTGTTTTGTCGAAATCCCTATAATGAGTAGCATTTGCTGCTGCCGAATAAACCAACTTTAAGATGGGATACGATGCTCTATAAGGCATGAGATTCAGTATCATAACGGTTTCCTCGTAGTAACGCCAGCGAATCTCATCTAGAACTCTTTGTGCTTTGAAAACAGACATATGTATGCGTTTTTGTGCTTTGAAAACCCGTTCGAATTTAAGTAGACGATCGGTTGGAACTTTTCTTGCGAGTTTTCTCAGCCCCTTCTTCTTCTTCTTTATCCTAGGGGTATACTTTACCAATTTGAAACTTGTCATAAATAAGGTTATTACCCGCCTATCTTTATTTTATTTGATTATTTGAATCCTATAACTATAAATTTTGTTTATTCTGAATCTTTCTATTCTGAATTCAATTAACGACGAGATTTAGTATCCTTTCTTGTACTTTCATAACTCATGAAATGCCGAGTAGGCACGAATTCCCCCAATTTGTTACCTACCATAGGATCTGTTATGTAAATAGGTATATATTCTTTTCCATTATGAATCGCGATTGTATGGCCAACCATTGTGGGTAGAATGCTAGATGCCAGGGACCACGTTACTATTATTTCTTTCTCCTCCTTCATATTGACCTTTTCGATTTTTGCCAATAAATGATGAGCTACAAAAGAATTCATTTTTTTGTGTCACAACTGATTACTCCTTTTTTATTTTAAAGAGTGGTATGGAGGTCAGAATAAATAGAATAATAATGAATGGAAAAAAGAGAAAATCCTTTAGCTGGATAATGGGCGGATGTAGCCAAGTGGATCAAGGCAGTGGATTGTGAATCCACCATGCGCGGGTTCAATTCCCGTCGTTTGCCCATCGCATTATTGCAATTTCCAAAAATGCAATTTTCCATATTCCTAGTTACGTATTTACTTACGGCAACGAAGAATAAAACTATCATTATATTTGTTTCCTTTTCCTAGTTCTTCTTCCGAGCGTAGGATAACCCCAAAGGGTTGTGGGTTTTTTTCTATCAATGGGGGCTTTCCCTTCACCACCCCCATGGGGGTGGTCCACGGGGTTCATAACTACCCCTCTTACTACGGGACGTTTACCTAGCCAACACTTAGATCCGGCTCTACCCAAACTTTTTTGGTTCACCCCAACATTACCCACTTATCCGACTGTTGCTAAGCAGTTTTGGGATACCAAACGAACCTCCCCAGATGGTAATATTAAAGTGGCCAATTTACCCTCTTTTGCAATCAATTTCGCTACAGCACCTACTGCTCTAGCTAATTGCCCACCCCTTCCCCGTGTGATTTCTACGTTATGTATGGCCGTGCCTAAGGGCATATCAGTTGAAGTAGACGATTGGATTTAGATCAAGTAAGCCATAAACTAAAAAAACATTATTGCCAATGTCTCTTCCCATGAGTCATGATGGAGAAAGTGCCAATTCAAATGGAATGGCTCCAACACGATGTTACTGTCAAAATTCGAAATCCTTTTATTTTCGTCTATTAAAGAGTATTTAATAGACAAATGTTAATTTAACCAGCGTCATAAAAATTGATCGCATCACATCGCATAGAAAACAGCGCTATGCACACACGCACAGCGACGACGACGTCGCCTTTGCATGAGGCAGCTTTCACGTAGAATTCCGCGGCCCTGAATTATGAATCGACGGCTGCATCGACGACACGCCTAGGAATTGCCACGCACCGCGGTCGCTTTTAGGGCAGTCCCAATGGTGTATTGACGATGGTTTCTATCCTCATTAAATGACTTGTCACGTAGGCAAAACGCTGACATGGCAACGTAATTAATGAAGAAAGAGAGCAAAAATCTTAGAAATGGTTTCCTCGTGAAGAAATCAGGTCTTCTCTTGACCCAATACACCCAGAAACCATAAAATCGCCAATGGAGATAAACCACCAGTTTATAGGGGGCTCGTGCCGCACTCCCATTGGAGGAAGAAGATAGAGTTGGGAGGAGAAAGAGAAAATAATTATTACTCATAGAAATTATAGGTTGGAAAGCAGTACTTTTTTTTGTGCGGTATCCTGTGCTGCAGAAATTTGGGACTGCCCTTATCCAGTGGCGACAAGGACTAATGAATTCGAGGTTGGTTGGCGAGGAACATCAGGGTGACAAATGCACCCCGGTGAAACGTCGTCCTCCGTGGGGGTGTAAAAAACAAAAGTTTTATTCAGGCGTGATGTCGTGATGGCGAATTCGGAGTACGTCGACATGGCAACAGCACGGGGCGGTCACTTGTAAAGCGTCCTTCCTTTTAACCCTTGGCGTTTTCTTTTTTAGAGTTCCCACTAGCGTCCTTCCTTTTTATTACCAAATTGGCGTTTTCTCTGATTCTTGTTTTGTGAACGTGGATCATTGATCAGCGATCCAGGTGAAAACATCGGAGCAAGCGGACAGCCAGGAGATTGCCACGATGGTCCTATGTGAATTCTGACGTTGACCGATTTAGAGCTGCTCGACAAGGCTAACTTATGACAGGGCCAACGCCCAACGCAGAACAACATGAGTGTAGTGGTTAGAGGTTAAAGTTGTGTGCCACGTAAGTATAAAAGTTTAGAGATTTCAAGTTCACGACGCAACCTATTACTGCCTATTAAATGCTGGCCCCATTGTTCCTTCTTTCAATAACTCTCAGCCCTGACAAAAGGTGTGGCAGAACTTCAATTTTTGGCTCCCAATGCGTGGTAGCTTCTCTCTTTCGTGAGACCAAGCAACCGCACCTTCTATGGGTAGCACTGGCTCCCTGCGAAACCACTATCTGAACTGATATGTACGCTCCATGCGAACGTCGAAGTTGTGCCATATAGCCACCGTGCAGCATTGGGTATGGCCTTGCAACTAATGGAGTACCACTTGGTTTCTTTGGAAACCATGACTTCTTAAAACATATGATTAGAAAAGAAAAACATAGATTAGAGTTATATGTCACTCGTGCATGTGGTCATAGGAATGAGCGTGAGTATATTTTTTAGTGCCTATGTCTATGTTGTGTAATTCAAAAAAAATGTCACTTGCAATCCAAAAAGAATCAGTTGTCTTATTAGAACACTATTAAAACAACGCTACCACGTACGCCAAGGGGATCTCAAACCTAGACTAGACTTAAGTCCATGTCAAATACTCGATCTCTCAGTCCCTTTCTAGGTGTCGTAAAATGTAGGATTAGAAAAACATAGGTTTTCGTAGAAATGCATGTGGAAAACAGAGGTAAGGAAATGCATAGGAATACATGTGCAAAACCATTTGGATAGAGCATAGGAAAGAATAGAGAAGATAGATAGTCGTTATGGATTAACTAGTTATATGGTATTGATCTTCTCAAATGTTCCACTTGTAGTAAGCTGCTTAAGAGCATTGCATAGGTAGCAATGAGGCATGTTTGTCTTGATCCTACGCAAAGGAAAGGAAAAAAAAAGAGATTTAAGTAGATGTTTCTTTTCGTCTTCCTGTGAAATGGCCAGTATGGGAACTTTTTCTATGGTCCAATCTCACATTGCAAAGACATGAACAATGTTTAATCCTATAGGAAATGAAATCCTCTATTTTTTTCTCCAAAATTCCTTCAATCCAAAAGAGGGCAAGGATTTGGGTTCCATTGAGTAGTACTCAACTGGCCAAGCTTGGTACTAGTAGTACTCAAACAGAATAAGAAGATGGAGCCGTGTAGTACTCCCTAAGGGCTCGTGGTTCCCAAACGAGCTTAGGAACCGTTTCTGCTGATGATAATTATTCAAATTAACAAAATAATCCGGTCAGGAATCTATCCTGAGGTCATTCCGTGGCAACTGAACATGCCCTAAATCTTTTGTCTTTTTCGTTTGGCTGATAAGTCATGGCTAAAAGTACTGTTATCTGATTTGTTGTGAGAGAAAAACATATTGTTCGTTGTTCGTTGACTGAAAAAGTAGAGCTTATAAGCCAAGTAAACATGACGATTGTTCCTCATTTCCTCTATCATCTTTCCTGACAAGGTAGTACATACTGTACTACTCTAGCAATTACTAGCTAGCGCTGAAATGCTATACGATCGGAATCGGACGACGTATGCGTGCGTACTGCGTACGGCGTACTCCGTATATACTCGCAGGACCTCCCAATCAATTTGGACTAAAAAAACCAGACGGCCGGGCCGAGTCTGGGAACGTAAACAGATCGGCTTTGAAAGTTCAACGCGCAGCAGCCATGGGTGGCCGCGTAGCAGGCGAGACACGAGACGTGCAAGCGAGGCGGCAGCCGGGCAGCCTTTTTTGTCTGCGAGCACACGGTGGTGCCATGAATCCCTCTGGCCCTCCCGTAGCCGGCTAGCCGCCGAGGGCATCGCCGGCCCGGTGGTCGGCGCAGCAGCCAGCAGCATCACTGCATCACTACTTACCACGACTGACGCAGCGGCTATAGCTGGTTGCCTCTTTGGCGTCTTCCGGTGGATTTGAGTCTTGCCGGCCTCTGTACTCCCACTAGCGGTCAAAGAGTAGTTTCACCAATTTTTTTAAAAATATATATACTGTTTGACCAAATTTAAAAATATACATATAGTTTTGACAAAAAAAAATCGAAATATCAAACAATAATTTAATTATAAATTCATAACAATATGATATTTATGATCCCGAATAAGTACTCGGTCCGTCTCCAAAATAGGTGTCTTCTCGCTTTCCGAGGAATGTTTTTAATTTTAATCAAATATATATAAAAAATATCAACATTTATAGTATGTACTCCCACTGTCTCTAAATGTTTGTTGTTTTTTTTTTCCGAGCCATAAGTTTAACTAGATTCGTAGAAAATACGTGTAACATTTGTATCTCTAAATAAATTTATTATAAAAATAGATTCAACGATCTATCTAATGATATTAATTTTGTACCATAAATATTAATATTTCTTTATATATATTTAGTTAAAGTTGTTTCTCAGGAAACGAAAACGATAGTTATTTAGGGACGCCGGGAGTATGATTGATATCGTTAGATAAATCGTTGAATTTATTTTTATAATAAAGTTATTTAAACATATAAATGCTGCTGATATTTTTTTTATAAATCTAGTGAAATTTGATATGAATACTTTTTTTTTTTTGACCGAGGGAGTATGGTCCAGATCTAACGATGGCACATCAGCTAATCTTGGAGTACGATCTATCTACCAGACTACCACTAGGCTGGCGATAGTCGAAGACCTGTTTGACCGTGTGGAAGCTTCACAGGTTTCCTGCGCGATCGACTACTGTGTAACAGTGTTTTAATTATATACGTAGCTGCTTGCGTACGTACATACATAGCCAATGGTCCATGGTTTTCTGGTTTCAGTGGGTAATGGTAATACACGGCGTACTAAGTAGGTGTGTCTAGTTCATACTAGTACAGGTGTACCAGACCACCATTCTGTGCCGCAATGAGTGCCTTGACCTTTCCACGTCGTAGCATTTGCATGGAATAGATCTCCAATTATTGGGACCTAGGCCTTGATTAGTTCGGCCATCGAATTTGCGGTGGTACTGTAGCTATAGTACCGTTTTATTTTTATTTGGTAATAATTGTCAATCGTTGAGTAATTAGGCTTAAATCGTTCGCTCTCGCAAAGTACAATCAAACTGTGTAATTAGTTTTTAATTTCATCAACATTTAGTACTCCATGCATGTACCACAAATTTGATGTGATGGAGAATCTTCTTTTTGCATAGTGTCAAATTCTGGAATTGGAGGACTAAACATGGCCCTACAGGTTTGGCATTTCGCGTTCACATTCGCGATCGCTACCTACGCCGTGTTTAGTTGGTGCCCAAACTTCTTCAAAAACTCCATCATGGGGCGAGCTCCATGTTTGTGGTGTTTGTGGAGACTTCTTTAAATGTGCTTCTCAAACTCCACCCTTTTTACTGGAGCAGCGAAATGCGTGGAGCGAACGCTTTTAACCGCTAATTAGTCAATGTTTGGACACTATTTGCCAAATAAAAAACGAAGAAGGTCTTAAAAAATGTGGAAAATCCAAATTTTGCGAACTAAACAAGCCCCTAATTCCG